ATATATATATCCAAAATGTTCGATTCGAAGTAACACATTTTGCTTACGATCTATGGGGCTTACAGTTTGGGTTTTCTCTTCAATATTTGAACAACAACATGCGTTTAAATTAGCTTATACCTAAATTGTCATTTGCTATCAAAGTAAAACCAGTAACTTAAAAAATTATCCGATAGAAACGCTACAAGGATTAATTAACTAAAAAAAAAAAAAATTAATAATGAGACATTTTTTTGTTGGGACTATGAAGTTAAGGCTAGCAAATCCTACAGTGTCTCATATTAATATTATTATAGCATACACATATATAAATATATATATATATATATATCTATATTCTATGTAGCATAAGATGTTACGATCTATACAAGGCGAATTGTTGCCGCTGCTGATGAAGCATATTACATACAAATTGTCGTAACAACTAAACGGAAGTATACGTTAGTTAAATACATTTCATAATGAAGTACATGGAACAAAGTCTTATGGCGGCGCATAGATGCCAATGCCTCCTAGAGATTGGTTATTTGACCTTTGTCATTAACACAGTTGGTATGCTGGGCCTAGTCGGACTTGTGTGTACTGGTCGCACAGGCGGAACTCTTTTGATAACGCTTGAAGGCCGGCAGTCGGTCGAGTAGAGCCCACAGTATGCTGCCAGGCAGACGTTGATGCTCATTGATTAGATCCTCAATGGCCGTGGCCACCTGCGATATGGTAAACCATCATGTATTATCGTATAATATTCATATATTCATTCATTAGCTAATTGAGTTTCACCGCTCACCTTTATCTGCAGCTCCTGCGGCGTTAGGTTCTCGTCGTACTCGATGGGCTTGCCCAGGTATGTGCGAAACTTGACGGGAAATCCACCGTAGATGGGATAGACCGGTATGCGCACCTTATTGTACAGCCGCATGAAGAACGTCCGGAAGATGCCCAGCTGTCGGAAGCCCTCGCGCAAGTTTTGCGTAAAGCAGGGTATCACCGGCACCTTGGCCTCCTGGGCCACCTTGGCGAAGCCGAGCCGATTGCGCCACAGCAGCTCGTAGTAGTGATCCCCGAACTGTGCCTCATAGACGCCGCCGGGCGATATGGCCAGCAGATTGCCGTCACGCAGTATGCTGACGCAGGACTGCACCGTGCCCGGACTGATCTGGAATGCCTCCGAAATGGTGCCCCAGCCGGGTATCTTGAACAGAAACCGATCGCCGACCGTATAAATCAGTCGCTCGCGCTGCAGCAGCATCCGGGAATTCAGATAGTACATATCGATGGGTATCGCCCCATGATAGTAGATGATCAGTGCTGGGCCCTCCCGCGGCACATTGTCCAGCCCGATCACCTCATAGCCATGATAGATCCGGGCATGCGCGTCCCAGATGGCGGCCACGATTTTCCGACCGACGCGCCAAAAATTTCGATCCGTTTGCACAGATCGCATTATGACTTGCCTGCAATTGGAGTGAGATGGAGAGCCATGTGTGAATGAGATAGCTAATATAGAGGAAATTATATATTCTCTTGAGTAATTTTGCTTATACATGTAGATGGAGTTGATATTGCTAAATATATCTGGAGATAGTACGATTATAATTAGTAGTTGTGAAATGGTGTAAATAAAGGTAGGAGCTCTAGATAAGATCAGATCAGTTGTAAGCTGATGTAGATCAGAAACAACGGATATAATGAACTACGGATAAGCGATATAAGTTCTAGAGAGACATAGGTTATAATCAGAAACTTTGGATAATAGAGCTACAGATATCAGTTCAACTGATATATAGTTGGTTATATAGAGACATAGACAAATGGGATATATGTATGTAGTGGATAGATATGGTTGATCTACAGCAAGAAGAATCTCCGGATTAAAGACCTATACACAAGTGATATAAGTTCTACTGAGCTATAGTTCATAAACCGAAAAAAGTAACTTTGTCTATAAAGAACTATGGATAGATCTAGTTGATGTTACTAAATAAGAAACTTTGCATATAAAAAGCTATATACATATATCTACTGATCTGTAGACAACTCATATGGTATACGCTATAGATATAGGCAAGGAATATATATGCATATATACATATATATAAGTTAGATAAACATATTGTGAAGATATGAGTTCTATAATGATAGATAGATAGATTAGCGGCATTATTTCTATAGGGATATGGATTATTGAGTTAAGATAAGATATAGATGATAGACAGCCGATATATGCTTTGTAGACATATGAGTACAAAATTTGTTGAAATTATTAGTCAATTTAGTCAATCAGACCCACTAGAATGGATCTAAAATGTCCCCGACCACCAATGTGATTCAATGTGATTAGTTTTATATGGCATATGGGGCGGCAATTGAACTGATATCATGCTAGTTGCGTGCTATAAACTGGAGCGCCGTTATCTTTAACCAACAACGTAAAAACAAATCATGGGAAATGACGAAAGAGAGGCGATCTTGGGCATTCTGGAGTTGAGATACCCTTTTCGATAAAACGAGAAGTAATTAATAAAAAATAAAGTAAAGGTAACAGAATAAAATATACTAAAAATACTATAAGTAAAATATTATAACAATATAGGCTATTTAGATAGAAACGGTATCTATAGTTGAGTATTTCTCAAGTTGTTCGATGTATTGAATTGCTTAATGAAATTGTACACAATTATTTCAATATATGTTCGATAAGCTATAAATAAATATATATAAAAATGTACAAATCTATATTACCTCATATATAGACATATCATATACACATATATATATATTTCGAAATTCCCATGAATGCAGCCTAATAAATGTTTTAAGCGTATCGAAAATATTTCATTTTTTATTTACATTTTATTTCAATATTTTTACCGCTAACTTTAAAGGTTAACGCTTGTGTGGTTTACGATCCAATGCTAAGGTCTCCACTTGTAATGCTCGTTGGATTTATAAATGCTAGCGATGTGTGCGTGAGTGCGTGAGCTGGGGCTTATCAGCGTGGGGGCATGAGCATTATTAGTCGCCGACGGAGTTAATATCAATGGCATTTTGTGTTTTCTGTGCTTTGTGTTTGCTTTGCACTTCACGACGCGCTAATTAATGGCGAAATTGATAATATTATTTAAATTTAGTTTAGGCAGCTGCAGCGCAACATCATCGTCATTAGAGGCTGGCTGGCTCAGGTGTTATCAGCGCCTAGCGCACATTGCCAGCGACTATCAAAATCTCAATTAATCAATGGACAAATCGTCTTTTCTGACTACAATTGTTTCTTTTCTTTTAATGAAATATTTACGTGCGTACAGCACGATCTTCTGATCTCAACGGGAGCAGCAGAGGCAGCAGCAGCAGCAGCAGCAGTAACGCCGGCGCAGCAACAGAGTCTCTGCACCTGTTTACGTTGACCTCCAGCCCACCCCCAGCGAGTGTTGGAGCAAAAGTTTGGCTGATAAGATATCTCTCTGTGTATGCATCGCTTATGGGCGTGGCACTATTGTGATCTTCTCCAAATAACACCAAATCCATACATATCTATTAGAACCAGTGCTGCCACCTTTTCATTAGCATTAAAAGCTAAATCTAGCTGGAAAGGGGACCTTTTCATTGACTTTTGCAATTTTTTTAGGAAAATTATATCATTTTATAAAGCACTTAAATTTGAAATTAAAATGAAAAATTCATTAAAAAAATTCAGAAATAATAAAGCTAATCCTCTTGCTCTCGGACTTATTAAAGAGCCTAATATGACGGGAAAAAAGGCTGAAATGGCTGAAGTCAGTGATATGAACCATTCACTCATATATATTAATTTTTATTTTTGCCCACAATATGAGTAGATATAGACGCCATATCCTATAGATTTTCGGCTGTCCAAGTACATATACATTCCCCATTTCAGCTCTCTGAAACTTCAACTACGACGGTTTCTGAGATACCCAAAGTTGCAAAACTTAATACATAACAATTCGAGGCTATGTTCCAAATTTGAGATCTATAGCTTCTACTGCATATGCACTGAGAGACGAAACATTAGGAATCTATTGCATAAAACCAATGTATATATCAATAAAAATCATTTTATTATCGTGAATGAGTACAAAATTTGTTGAAATTATTAGTCAATTTAGTCAATCAGACCCACTAGAATGGATCTAAAATGTCCCCGACCACCAATGTGATTCAATGTGATTAGTTTTATATGGCATATGGGGCGGCAATTGAACTGATATCATGCTAGTTGCGTGCTATAAACTGGAGCGCCGTTATCTTTAACCAACAACGTAAAAACAAATCATGGGAAATGACGAAAGAGAGGCGATCTTGGGCATGCTGGAGTGGAAATACTCTTGTCGAAAAACGAGAAGTAAATAATAAAAAATAAAGTAAAGGTAACAGAATAAAATATACTATATAATACTATAAGTAAAATATAATATAACTAACAATTTTACACAAATAGATTATAATAAAATAACATTTTTGAAATTTATATTTCTATGGAACTCTGGTTCCACACACTGCTTATACAAATCTAGCTATATGAACTTGAAAACATGTTCCGTTTCTTATCTGTTAATGTATATGGGATATATATAACAGAAAAGATAAAAACCGTAAGCTATAGATGTATATAATACAAGATAAAATTTTTTAAGATACCAGATGATCCATATATGAAATTTGAATAGAACAACTTAACAAATGGAATAGCTTCGTTTATGTAGAATCACCCTAGTCTATAACTTTACACTAATTCATCCAATACCATGGGAATATATACATGCATTCGATATAAAGAGTATTTGAAAATACTACAGCAATCGTCTGAGGTTTGTGCGCTTATCGCACGACGGCCCGTGACGCATGGTCGGACTATGTTTGGGTAACTGAGCTCATACTAGCTGTGTATTAGATATTCCGGCGTAATTATCTGACGGAGGTGTGCGAGAGTTTCATTGAACGGTTCAATGGAACGAACCCTAGCCTAATGACACTGCAATCTATTTGGTCTATCAATAGCAGTATCGAGCTCTAGACTGGACTTCTAGTTAATTAGCATTCGAACCGGTTTGAAGTTATTTAGTTTTGTTATTTTTACATTGCTTAAATGGCTATCGGCGAGAGAGCTCTAGAGGGCTTTACGTAAATACTAAATTGCGCATAGTCAGCGTCAAGTAGCATTCTAGGGGGCATCGAGGGCCAAAGCGCTGGAGTGTACGGGTTACTCGATAGGAAAGCAAACCAAAGCAAAATCAAAGCGAAGCGTTCCACGATTTCGATATCAGAAAATGCAATGCCAGCATTATTGCTATACACAATATTGCCTATATAATGGCATGACATGTATCTACATATGTACATATGGGCACGTCAGCCATTTTATGGGATTCGTCCACTTACCTGTGCAGCTTATAGATGAACAGCACCAAAAATGATATGTAGATAAGCGCCACGAAGACGAGCGGCAGTAGGAATGTTACCATCAGCGGCGTTAGAAAACGATATAGCCATAGCGAGTAGTCCAGATCAATGTATGCAGCTGTGGATTGATAAAGCGTATAGATTTATCAAATATATATATAGATAAATGTATAACCATATATAGGTGCAAATATATATGTGTATATAGCAATCATATGTGTGTATAATATAGAAAAATTGTCAATTGAATTCAACGATTTTCGCTTTAGGTTTTGAAACAATTTCTAAGCTAATTTTAGAGAATTAATTGTATTGGAGATGGTAAAATTACAAAAAACCAATCGAATTTTACGAACAACTATTGGTTTTTGAAACATTTAGTAAAAATATAAAAAAAGATACGATTTAAATATATATTATCTTATGTAGACAGATGTATAGATATAGATATACATTAAAAAAAATTTGTATTGAGTAAAGACCTAATTAAAATATATTACATATTTATATATGTATTTTATTTCATAAATAATAGTATATTCTAAAATTTCTCAAGTTCCTAACTATTTTTATTCATTTAATTTGAATGATAAGGTTAATTTAAAAATATCGAAAAAAAAATCGTATATTTTTATTAGTTTTGAAGCATATTTTCTGCATTTACTGAATTATTTTAATAGATTTGATTTAATTGCCTAATATCGAATTCTAAACATTCAGTAAGCAATAAGTGTACATATTTTTAATATTTAAATATATATAGAATAGATCCAATTATTTATAAAGTTATTGAATTATGTAAATTTTGACCTTATGTATCTATGTATATATTATTTAATTAAAATTTTGTATGCTAATTATACAGAAAATGACAAAAATAATATGATATGATATATTATTATAATATTAGATTCGGTATAAATATCGTATGCATAAAACCGAATAAAAATATTAAAACTTGGCAATAAATATCACATACAAAAATAATTACAAATATATCCATTTATAAATTTGCCAAACGTTTTTTATTCCACGTATATTCCGCTGTTGGCAGTGGAAAGTTGGTAATTCATTTATTTAAGCAAAGAACAAAGTTTAAATTCAAACTGAACTTTCGCTTAATTTGTTCACTCAAAGAAACGAATTTACATAATTAAAAACATGGCAAAATAAATTTTAAAAAATTTTAAATATGCAAAAGTGAAAGACAATAAATATGTATGTATTTATATACACATATACATATATAATGAATAATATATGTACATATGTGTGTACGTGTATATATGATATGTATATCTTTGCTATAGTATATATACATACATACATATTTAGTTATTTAGATAAATTTGAGTACTTACACAGTATTGTTTGTGGATTCTTTATGAAATTGATAAAAATATCCATTTTTGAGGTATTTGTTGGCGGCTGTTTATGGCTGAGGTTTCATGGATAAGGCGGAGGAGTTTTGTTCTGTTTATTTGTGTTATTTTTGTTCTACTGATTGCTGTTGTTGTTGCTGTAGGTTTTGTTGGCCAACGACTTGCAAATGTTGTCCCAAATTTTCACTTGCTTTCTTTATTTGTTTGGGCTTGCTTACTTCTTTTTTCTTTTTTGGAATTGGGACTGTGCGCGGTGTGGTGGGTTCACGTTCTCACCGGCTCACGTCGTTGTGGGTTGTCTTTGTTGTTGTTGTTATTGTTTCTGATTTTGCTGTTGATGTGGTTGTCTTACGAACTCAGGTGTTGTTTTGATTGTTGTTGTTGTTTTTGTTGCTTGGTTTATTATTATTGCTCGTGTTGTTTCTACTGCTTGTGTTGGGCTCATTTAAACGTTGGTAACTCATCACTGCTGCTCGATGGCTCGTTGGCGTTCGGATCCGTTAAACATTTACATATGTATACTTAATGAAATTAACTTGCTTCATTGTTGATATTAATGTTCTTATTACGTTGCTTTCGTTATAGCTATTATTGTTTTACTTTGCTGCTCGCCCGTCCGCTTGCTTTATAGACAACTGAGGCCGAGCAGCGTCTGCCACATTGTGTTTGTATTGCGGGGTATCTTGCGGTTAGCTCCTCTTTAACTTAATAATATAAGCTAGTGAGCCCCAAAGTATTGCACGAGACCTATTTGTTTACATTGTTGTGTTGGGCCCATATCGATGACACTATCGATGTTGCACAGTTGACGCACAAACAGCTGGCAACGCTCAGGCCCCCCAAGCTGGCCAGCTGTTCGGCTAGCTCATCTGGTCGATCTGTCGCGATAAACGATAGTCCACCCACAAAATATCGATAGCAAAATTACGATACTAACAAAATATGTTGCTCTGTGTTGGTTGAGCTGCACGTGTTCGGTTTGGCAATTTAAATAAAAGTTTTGTGAGAAGTGCGTCGCACTAACATTCTCTGCAAATGGGTAAATTTCGTTCGAAATTGAAACGCCATGGTAAAGGCAAAAGCTGGAGTAAAGGCCAATCGGCTGTATCGAATCCTGAGCAAATGAAACACCGTCTTAAAGCAAAGTCGCGCTTTTTCCAACCAAATTTAAATCTGGGTAAGTCAATTGCGAGGCGCCACACATGATATTAAATAAATGATATATGCGATACGATAATATACAGCTGCAGCGAGCTCAACTAATGGACTCACCATGGAGGCCGTGCACAAGCACGAACAGCGTCAAGCCTACAATGCGGAGACAACAACGGTAAATGATGTTGCCGGTAGCCTGAAGTCTTTTACACTGGAGGACGATGATGGAATGTCGGGCACCGGCACACAGCCAAGCACCGTCAAGACCTTTCAGACCTTTGCCTCCAACTACAGCAGCTGCAGTAATGTCAGCTTCAAGAAGCTACTCACCGGCTTTCGTGCCTCCTCCGATCTGCACAAGGAGATGTTGGCCATTTTGAGTGCATTGACAGAAATAATACGCGAACGTGGCGGCAACGAATCTTCCACTGAATACTTTCTGCTCCTCATCAGCCAAATCGAGGCGGCCACCGAGGAGCGCGACATCATTGCCGGCGTTGCTTTGCTATCCATGGGCATTAAATCAGTGCCGGCGCCGGTGCTGCGGAAACGTTTCTCTGAAACAGCCGAAACACTGCAGCAGCTGTTGCAGCGCTTCATTGAGTCCAGCAATCAATCCGTCATTCGCTATGTAAGCCACTGTATAATGCCCAACGTTGAATATGATTTAATAAATATTATTTTCATTCCAGCTGATTGGCTGCATGTCTGTGCTGTTGCGTGCCCAGGACACTGCCACATGGACGTACAGCTCCACGTTTCAGTACTTCGATGCACTGCTCGCCTTTACCATCCACTCGAAACCGAAAATACGTAAAGCGGCCCAGCATGCCATCGTCTCCATCATACATGGTAGCTGCTTCATGCTGCCACCGACTGCCGCTGAGGGCGAGCCGGGAGCTGATGCTAAAGAGGAACAGTCACAGGCATCGAAGATCAAGTATCATCCGGCTAGCAATCGTGTAACGAAATTCTGTTTGGCCCAGTTCAAGCCCGAAGTGTTGGCCAACAGTCAGACAACAGTACTGCATACGCTGTCCCTGCTAAAGGACACGCTGGCTGGCTTCCGCACCGAGGATATACGCAGCGTGTGCGAGAATCTGCTCTCCATAATGACAGCGGCCAACATCCTTGTGAGGACCAACTGTTTTCAGGCTCTGCACACACTCTTCCAGTCGCGCAGCGCCAACCTGAATGCGTTATTGTGCGCCAAGCTGCTGGCCGCCATACACGAATATCGGCCAGATCGCAGCGATGTGCGCCAAACGCTGGCCTGGATCACAGTGCTCAAGGAGGGTCATTTGCATCTGGCCACCCTGCAACTGGACTTGTGCATGCAAGCGCTTCCGCGTCTCTTCGAGATCTGCACCACGGATCTTTGGCTGTCAGAGCGCACCGAACTCGTGGTAGGCGTCTCCAATTGCATTAAGGAGATGCTGCAGGATTGTGTGGCACGCGCCTGTGCCACAGAGGAGCTGGCCAATCAATATCGCCCGTCTGTGATCAAGATAATTGGTGCCATGCACAAGGTGCTGAATTCACCCTTTGGCGAGATCTCCAAATATGTTATTCTCATATTCTCCATTGTGTTCGAGGCGTGCGGCAAACATTTTGGGTGAGTAAGATTACCTAAAGCCTAGAAGCGTGTAAACTCCTCCTTTTTATTCCATGAACCCATTTAAATTTGATTAGATTGAGAAGAGGATTATAGGGTTTCATATGTCAAATGAACTGAGTCGATTTAGCTGCGTCTGCCCTGTTGTCCTTATGTATGAACACGGCGATCCCAACACTTATAAGAGATAGAGAATTTTTTCATTGTAGATACCGCGAAGATCAAGTTTGATTAATAGAAAATCAATAGCTACTCCGTTATTATACTCTATTTCGTATATAATTTTACGTTCATTTGATATCATTTCCTTCTTCGTTATATTTTTACATAATTCGAGAGGCAGGGTATATTCTAGTCAAGTGCCCCGACCAGAGTTTCCCCACATGCTGACATATCTATTGCTCTTTCTGTCTGACCAGATCCGAATTGATGCCCTCGCTGGCAACGATTGGCAAACGTTATGATAGCAACGGCGCCTTGCGTCTGCAGATCGAGCACACGGTGATCAGTGCCATCAAGGCGCTGGGCCCGGAGCTGGTTCTACGTGCTCTGCCACTGAGCGATGCCAACGGCGACGTGTGCCTGGACCGATCGTGGCTATTACCGCTGATGCGCGAGGGCGCCACTGGGGCGAGCTTGCAATTTTTCATGGAGCACATTCTGCCACTGGCTCTGAATAGTCAGTCGCATTGGCGCAAGCATTTGCAGTCGGGGCAGACGGTGACCAAGGCACACATCTATGAGCTGCTATGCTGTCAGCTGTGGGGTCTGCTACCCGGCTTCTGTCGCCAGCCACGGGATCCGGAATATTTGCGCAAGCTGGCGCCAACGCTGGGCGATGCCCTGGAGCACAATACAGAGTTCCGTGCGGCCATCTACGATGCCTTGCTGGAGCTTTTGGATGACAGTCAGAGTCCGGAATGCCATGCGATTATGGGCCAATATGCGCGCAACTTTCTGCCGCGTCTCTTCAACATCTACACACAGAAGCCCAACACCAGCTACGAGGGGGAGCAGCGCAAACGTGCTCTGGCCGTCATCCGTGCCTATATCGCGCGTGCTCCGGCCGAAGTGCAAGCGCAGCTCTTCGAGAGTGCCCAAAGCCTGCTGGCGGCCAGCGCAGTAGCCAGCTTCGAATACGACTCCTACTTTGACATCAATGCGGCCATTGTCCGGGTCCAAAAGTGTCGCGGCATCGAGGCCTACTTCGAGAAGTATATGGCGCCCGTGCTGCGCAACGACAAGTCCAAACTGGTATCACGTGACGAGCAGAAGATGAAGAAACAGCAGCGCAAGACATACGAGTGAGTAGTGGCATACCCAATTCAATCATTTACAGGGTATTGATTCTCTTTTGATATCATTCTAGATTGCTGCGCGAACTGATGACCTCAGAGTTGCCTTCATGCCAAAAATTCACGCGTAAAAATTGCATTTCATTGCAACAGATTCTGCTCGAAGCTTTCAATACCACATGCAGCGTTTGTCAGGCGTCGCGTTTATAGTAAGTTATGATGCATCAGTAATTTGATGAAACCAATGGGGAAAAACTGAATAGATTTTACGCTGAATTCAGTCTGATAGAAGCCCCTCATGAAGCATGGTTTAGAACGAAAAGCTGAGTTAATATAGTCATATTCTTCCGTCTGTCTAAGAATGCGGCGATCTCGGAACTTAAAAGAGCTGGTGATTTGAAACTTCATCTGTAGATCTCTATATTACACGCGCAGATCAAGTTTATTTCAAAAATTCTACAACTAATTCCACTTTAGTGTTATCGAACAAAGAGTGCACCGAAATTCAATTGAATTATATTTCGAAGTTCTTTGCAATTAGCATTTCGAAACTTTTGCATTTAGTTTATAATACTTTGAATTATAGATCAGTTGCAATGTTGGCCAATATGTGAATGAATTTTAAATTGGAAATGATTTAATAGAATATGTAGTTGATATGCAATGCAAGTTTCATTAAAATCGGTTTAGTCAAACAGAAGTTATTAAAGAAAATGACCGTCTTCATCCATAAGAGATGCCTAGACTGACTGTATTAGCAGCTCTGCGCTGTGTTTCAGGTATCTTCTAGTCGTACACTGTCCATCAGAGCACATTCACATATTTGATTTATATACCTAATTTGTATTCAAGAACTATACCCATTTCGCTCAGTCTGTCTGTTTCTATGCTAACCAAACCCCTCACACCAACCTTCTCTTTTCATCTCATTAAATGTACTACTCTGATAATTCGAACTATTTGATATCCCTGCATAGTTGCCTGAAATCACTGCTGGACTGTCGCAGCAAGTTGGCATACAACGATCAGCTGGTGATGAAGGCCATACCGGAGGCGGTGCTCAATTACAAGGAGTTCTCCACACGCAAGGAGCAGGTGGCTGAGCAGCTCATCAAGCAGATTGCGAATCTGTATCAGGAGGCTGGCAAGATCAATGAGTTTGTGGACATCCTAACGGCTGGTTTCACCGGCGACGAATCCCTGATAACCAATACAATTCTGGCCTTCCGTGCCGTGCTGCAGCAGCAGGGCCAGCATCTAACTGTGAGCACGTTGGAGTTTGTGCTGCAGCAGGTTTCCGTGTTCATAGTGCAAAAGTCGCGCAATCAGGCCGAGGCAGCCATCGCCTTTCTCATTACATTCATTAAGGTGATGCCCATACCACTCGTATCAAATCACTTGGAGACGATTGTGAGTGACGGCTCTCATATATCTCTTTGGCTTTGACTAGAGTCGCTCTAATTGCTGATCTCTTGCAGATGCGCTCCCTTTCCGCCATGACCAAGGATACGAAACGCTATTGCCGCATACAAATTGGCTACTTCCTGAAGAAGCTGTGCAAGCGCTTCACCACGGAGGAGCTGGCGCGCTTTGTGCCTGGCGACGATGAGATAACCCATCGCCGTCTCAAGAAGATACGCAAACAAATGCGTCGTGATACACGTAAAAAGCAGAACGAGGAAGCCCAGGCCGAGAGCTCGGATGAGGAGCTAGTGGGCGGCCTTGAGCAAAAGAGCTATACGTAAGACATGAGGCTGATTGCCAATCCACCATGAGTAGCTAAGGCAACAGTTATCTATTTGCAGTATCGATGACATTTTGGCTGATTCGGACTCGGATCTGCCAGAGGACTTGGAGGATGAAGAGGGCGGCGCAGCTGCCAAGAATCGCTCGGCTAAATCAAAGGCCAAGTCAAAGCAACCGCGCAGCACTTACATACGCGAGGAAGCCGATGAAATCGTCGACTTGGCCGATCTCAAGTCAATTGGCAATGTGCTGAGTAGGTTTTGTTATCTAAGCTTAACTTGATATATTCTCTAATGTGCGCTGCCCTTTTTATCCATAGCCAGTGGTTCTGCTGCAGCTGCTGCTGCAACTGGCAAGCAGTCCAAGGCGAAGCCGCAGCAGCCCAATGGCGGCTTTAAGACCGCCGAAGATGGGCGTCTGATCATCAGCGACAAGGCGTTGCGTGGCCAGAAGAGCGATGGAATTGATGATGACAGCGATGGCGATGACTCCTCGGCTGATAGCGGCCATGAGGCGGGCAATGGCGGCGGCGCCAAGCGCGGCATGGAAGAGGACTCCAGTGATGAGGAGGATCTACACAAGCCAACCAATGCCAAGCGCAAGAGACAGGCCAGCGATGCACTAAGCATGCGCTCCGGCAAGACAAGCACCAGCACACGCAAGGGCATACACCGTACGCTGAATGCCACGGCCACAGATGCCATGTCCGTCAAGTCGGGTGGGGGGCGCAGCAAAGTGGCTGGCAGCGAGTACAGCAGTAAAAAGGCCAAGGGCGATATGAAGCAGCGCGGCAAATTGGATCCCTATGCCTATATACCGCTGTCACGGAATACGCTGAACAAACGGTGAGTCCATCAACAACAGGGGCCCAAATATTGACATAATCAATAAATAAGTAAATAATCTAATAAATTTTGTTGATTGCAGCAAACGGGCAATGAACTCGCGTAAGTTCAAGAGCACCGTGCGTGGAGCTGGCGGCGAGGGGGGCGAATCGGCGACTGGGCAGGCGATGCGCGGCACTGGGGGTGGCGGCGGCAAGCGCGGACGTGTTTCCAAGAGTTACAAATAGAGAGACGGCAATAGAAGTGGATCATAAAGATAGACCGAATAACTTGTATAATTCGCTGTTATTTTGCTATATATAACTTTATAAAAACACAAACACATATACAAACATATACATATATATATATAAATGTTTATATACTGAAGCACTTAATCATGTGAATGATACAAATGTTAATATTTCATAATTTACAACTATTTCGTTATTATGTACACATGGCCTATAAATGAGAACTGTGAGGTGTTTAGGCAATCTCGTTCCTAGATATGATTTTATAATCTATATATATTTTATTTTCTATATTTTTTGAGAATCCGCTTAATGTATAATGTAGGTAAACTTGTTCATAAAGAATCGTATGATTTCACAATATACATATATATTTTTTTTAACGAGAGTATGCTTACTATTAAAATATATATTTTTTTAGTAAATCTAATACAAAAATGATTTGAAATGTAATTTTCTATCGCAAGGCAACTTTGAAATTAGTCTTATTTTTGTTAGTTACTTGGTTTTAGTACTGAGTATATATTGTATATATATTTTAGGAGACGGATTAGCAAGGACTCGGCTTCGAATCCCAGTTTAGCGCATATTTCGACTAGCTATATATAGACCTTTGAGTCGTGTGACGCAACCGAATGTCAGGTGACACAAATCATTTAATTATTTGTATATTAAACGTAGTAGCAAGTCACCTAATAACACTATTCTGCATAGTTTTTATCTACATACAATCTGTCTGAAGCGTATTGTAAAGATATAACTTAGTTATTTGCATGTGTTTTTTTTTTTTTTTTATAGTTATATTGTATAAACATACACAAATGAGCACGTTTAGATTTACTAGTTGTAAATTATAGTTATGAGCCTTAGGGAACTAGTATTTATCTAATATTGGATACAGTCTTTCATTTGATATATTCAGACAAATTTGTAGTGCAAATTCGTGTTTATTTCAAACATGAATGAGTTGATTTTATTTGGGAGTCAGACAGATTAAGGCGTCAACGATTTCTTCGCTATTTTGTAAGGTAATGTAGTTCCATATGAGGTTACTATTTGGTGTTTTCTATTTTGTCTATAAGTATACAGCCTGCCCGTTCGAATGTTTTTAGTAAAATTAGAGTGATGCGCGTTTCTTAAGAGCTTTCGAATTGTTTTTCAATATGTGTGTGCTCCCACTCGGCGCTGGGATCGAGGCCACGCATGGTCTCCTCAATGAAATGCATCTTGTTGTTCGCATCGACCAGGATGAGCGAATGGGTACGGCTCCCATAGCCGTGCTCGGCGATGTGCACATTGAGCGCGCTCAGGCCTTCGCCCCAGCTGGGCGCACGTCTCTCCAGTTCCGCATCCGGCCAGAATTTGTGTTTGTTCTTAAGCAGCTGCAGCAGCTCGCCGCTCAGAGTCTCCACATCCGATTGGCCGAATTCCTTTACAATCTGCTCGAATTGCTTGCGGCCGTATTGCACCTTTTCGAATGGGCACTCGGGCAAACTGTTGCCAAATCCATAGCATTGCCCCTGCTCGAAGGGCAACAGCGTGGGCGGCACGTTGCTCAGCAGCTTGATTTGAGCCGGCTGTCCGTCAGAGCTAAAAAGAAAATACATATGTATATATATATATATATATATATATATATATATATATATGTATATGTATGTAAAGTCTAATTAGAGTCAGCTGGCACTAATCCCACTCAATTTCGTAATTGCTCGGCTGCCTCACTCGCTCGCACTATCGCTAAACAACGGCACTTGACTGTCAACAGGTTGCAATGCCAACGCACACTGTCACATAAGTACTAGAAGGACGTGTAAGTGTGTGTGCATGCGCATGTGCCTCCCCTTAACTTCGTGCGGAAGCAGCACAGTGAGACCAACAAGTGGGAGCACAGAGAGTAAGCTAAAGTGGCGTATGTAGGTGCTAATGAAAAAAATCGGATCTCTCGCTCGATCACACTGTGTCTTAGGAGTGCAGGCGAGCAAAGGGCCCCAGCAACAACACTGAGAGCAAGCAGAATATGGCGTATGTGGAAGTTGATGAGAAAACTCGGATCTCTCGCTCGATCAAATACGAAGTTGACAGTCTGAAAGCCTGCTGCAGCTCCAGTCAAACACATGTATGCATGTATACATATGTGTATGTATGTATGTACGTATATATTAAGCCTTTGCACTTACCCAATCTCAATGGAGACAAAATTAAATGCACTATACTTGGTGCAGTCCGCCAGCAGACTTTGATTATAATTTACAATATTGTGTTCAATATCCGTTTGACGCACATAGTCAGCTACGATCATGCCGCGTCCTAATAAGAAATGTTCGTTATTTGTGTGGCGTTCTTTATGCTCTTGGCAGCTGTTCTTGGTATTATTATGCGGTTGCAAAATGTTTTTGTGCGCTTCGAAACAAAAAGATTTTGTGGGTTATAAATTTATGAAGGAATAAAGGATGGGATTAATGCAGCCAATGTTACTGGCTTAACTTTGAGTGTGTGTGAGTGTGCGTATGAGTGTATAAGTGCGAGTGTGTGTGTGTGTTTTGTTTACCGACTGCATTGCGAGGCTTTGGCTCGCCAGTTAAATTGAGCAGAGCCCCCACTTTGAAGACGCCCTTCCCGCCGCCAATAGCCAGCCAAGTGCCGCCCTCACGTCCTGGTTCCAGATCAATGCCTACAAAAAATAGATACATTTGATAATATGTGACAACAATGAGGTGTGATTGCCCTTTGTAGATGGCACTCACCGCCATAGACGTGATCGCCATTTGACCATTTGGCTGCCGTTTGTGTATCACGGGCAAAGAACTCGTCGCGATTGGAGGCCAAGATGAGTTTATAGCCATTGGCATTGGGCTGCGAATTGGCATAGAAGAATATGACACACATGCTTGACACTCACTCGAAATTTGACTAGCTTTTGTTCTTAATAATAAATGCGCTGGAAAGCGAATTAAGTCAGTCCCTCTTTGTTGTTTATTTGTTTATCAGGAAATTATCGCTGACTCGGAATTATCTTATCCGTGCCACGCTCCCCGATTGCAATTGCCCCGTATAAACTTAGCGATGGCACCACATACAATTTATCCGGCTTTATACTGAGCAATTTCGCTAATAAATATGCATTGGATTGTGTAATTAAATCACATTCGCCTGTATTTTGTTGTTGTCTCCAATACAATGTTGTTCGTTTTTCTTTAGTTTTATTTTTATTTTTTAAATTTGCATTGCCAACTACTGGAAATCTGACAGCCAGTCGGTTCGTTATCGGTGTCAGGGCAACTTATCGATAGCTTGTCTGACTGCTCAGCCCTGGCACATGGTTGACTATTTGAGATCCGGCAACGCCGCTCAACCAGTTGAATGCAAATGGGCCAGCGTCGTACTAGAATTCGTTCAAGTATTTATGTTATTTTTTTCAAGTGCAAAACGTGTGTTAATTTACCAAACTTATACGCTGGAAACTGGCATGCTAGGTAGCACAGTTTAAGCATAAAATGCATGCACCGCAAGCTAGATTAAAACGTAATTTAAACAAATTTCCGACACACATACCTAAAAAAAACCAACGCACACACACAAACGCGCAACGCGTGCATAAACATATGAGCAAAGCATAGAAAAAAGCCCAGCACAACAATAACAATAACGTGAACAGAAGCAGCAGCAGCAGTTTGTGAAACAGTGTACAATAATATAATTGATAAAATTGATAAATGCAGAGTGAAGCGAAAGGAGGCACCTAAACGAACTACCGAAACGGCAGGCGCGATTTTCTTCGTCGTTGTCCCTGTGTCAATATAGAGAGAAAGAGAGGAAACAAAAAATTGTTACTAAAAATAGCAATAAATAGACAAAACCCCGCTGTCGCTGACGTTTTCTTCTTTCGGACTTTGGGCCTTGTCTCCGTTTTGACAGTTACCGTTAGCCTGTTGGATCAAACAGCAGCAGCCGCAGTTACACATACATAAAGACAAATATACAAATAAATAACTATAAAGTGAAATTACGCTACATTTTGGTGTCTAGTTTTTTTTTTGTTTTGTTTCGTTTTTGTTTTTGTTTTTCTGTTTTGTGCTTGCTGCGTTTGTTTGGACACGAAATAAGAGCAGCAGCACCACCAGCAACAACAACAACAACAACAACAACAACAGCAAAAACGTCAACATCAGCAGCAGCAAACACGGATCAACACAATGCTCTTAAAATTCACAAAAACCAGTGGAGCCGGCGGCGCGGGTTCGGGCACCAGTTCATCGATGCAGGCGACCACGACGTACGCGGTGCGCGCTGGAACAGGTTTGTTGTTGTTATATTATCTTATTTCTACATTTGGGGACATCATTTTGTTGTTTTCTTTATGCCCTCACTTTTACCTGTGCCTTTAACTTACATTCCACATACAAACCTATATATAGTATAACTATATATATATATAAATATAGATATACACATGTGTGTATATACACACATTTAAGAATGCTTTAATTGTGCGCTGGAATTTTGATAACGACACACGGACAAACAATAATAAACAATAAATAAAAATTGAACAACTTTAAGTATGAAAATTGTTTCTTGTTGATTTGTCTGTAAGTTGTCTGTCTTCTTCTTTCACATTATGTCAATGTGGGGGCGCCTCCAAGAAACCTCATCGCATTGGCCACACGATTGTATACAATCGACAGCGTTGCACAGTGGGTCAAAGCAATGTGTTCGCATCAATATTTATATAGAATTATAGAATTAAAATCAGTTAAATTAGTTAATTTACGTCGGTACAAAAGTACGATTTTTCAAGATGAATATATTATAAATAGATTTAAAAAAAATTGTGAATAAGCATTTAACAGCTAAAAGTCTACAGCAAAATCTTTTGCAAGATCAAAGCTGAAATTTAGAATTTTCAGCTTCCAATTGAATTCAAATTTCATTTTTTTTATATATTTATTCAAGAAAATCAAAGATAGACTCAGCTCAAATCAAATATCATGGTCCCATTATGCGTTTGTTTCACTTCCTAACCAAAACTCCCTTAGAACTGATGTTTGATCAATAAATTCGTCCCACTGTGCGACGGCGACGGCGACGTTGACAGCACGTTGTTCGCTGTTGTTGACTAAATTGAGTGTGTTAGAGTATTGGTTTCTATGTATGTACATACATATGTATGTATATATATATGTACATGTGTCTATGCATGTCTATACATATGTATGTATGTATGTATCTATGATTCTGTCGGCTGGGTAAGGTTGTTTGCGTAGCTTTTGCGTAGGCCACGCGGCACACGTGGCAAGCACAAAAACAACAATCAACTATACATACATACAAGAGCTCGATCATAAAATACCCTGCACGTGCAGCAAGACAAGTGAGAGATTGATCTGTTCACAAATATAATGACATATACTCTTCAGGCCGACAAATGCATGAAATAATTTGGTAAATAAAATAAATTATATATTAAATATATAACAACATTTTACTTGGCATTTTTGTTCTTCCAGTAACCCATATTTCAATATACATACATATATTAAGAATATTGGGGGCGCGGTAAAAATATATCTTACCAAGCTTTGGAGCTAAAACTTCAATTGATTTCCTGTGCAACTTAACTTGGTAATCAAGCGCGCCTACTTGGGGGCGTGGCTCGATAGGAAACTCTTTATATTTCAAATTAGTTTTTTGTATGTCCAGATAATTATATGCACTCTTCATGGGGCGTGGTAAATCGGAAAGTAACTATTTTTAGTTTATGAACGAGTATTGGGCAGTCAGTAGCACCCGATACTACATTCTTAATTGCTTTAGCTTATTTTAGGTCTGTTAATAGATCGGAGACAATAGAAAAGAAAATTAAGAGAAAACTATAAAATACTTACAAATAAATATGTTAAAGGCACAATTACCCACATTTAGCAAAAAATATATTTTATAAAATAGTAATTACCAAAAATTATAATTACACACATTTAGCAAAAAATATATTTTATAAAATAGTAATTACCAAATTTTATGAAAGTGGAAAAATATAAGAAATAAATAAATAAATAAAATACCAATAAATTTAGTATATAAAATAAACAGTAAATTATTAACAAGTATTATATTTTTTTATTTTATAAATATGCATTAAACATAAAAAAAAATAAAACATTTAGCAAATATATTTAATAATTTAAAAATTAACACAAATATGAAAGTAAAAAATAATATATATATACAAAATAAAATTTAAAAAATAAAAAAATATAAAAAAAATATATATATAAATGAAAAACTAACTTTTAATAAAATTTTAACATTTATATAACATGTCCAAACATTTAAATATCACATCTCATTCAATTGTAATTTTAATAGTTAAAATTGAAATCTCATTTTGGCTCTATATTCAAATGTCAATATTCGCTTGCCAACCATTTGATGCGCATATGCTTGACTTACATGTGATTACAGGGTATGCCTCTGTACATAGTACAGCAACAATTATGGTCGTTGGCCCTTGTCGCTGTATTGATTAGAAAGCATAATAATAACGGCTCATAAGGATCCTTTGGTGCTGGCACTTAACGATGACTGTCAATTTGAGTGTGTATTTTGTGCTCGAACACCGTTATATGTTAGTACGGGCGGTCAGTGTCCTGTGTCCAGTGTCCCGTGTCCTGTGTCTGTGGACATTCCGCTCCTAGGTGTTATTCGACAATGTTTGCCAATGTTCATTTAATAGAACTTAATCGTGTCTGCAAGGTCGCGCCCGGCGGGCTCAGAAGCCACCACCTGATGCGCTTCCAGTCGCAGTCCTTGACAACAACGACATTAGCTAATACAAGACAGCTTATCGAATAGGACTCCCGCCACCCACTTCAATCCACATTCATCCTGAGCCACGGTACGTGTTCAATCCACTTCAATTATTGCCTCGATTACCTGTAATCCTGCTGCTAAAGCAATTTTAATTGAATCAGAGATAATCTCATTACTACGAGAGGATTCCACTTTGATGTGAAATATAAGATAATTATGTATTCTTAAAGTGAATCAAAAAAATGCGAAGGATGTGATTCTGATTACATTGGAATGCCCAGCAATACTAGAGCGGGCTCTTAAATGATGTGATGTACGACTTAATATATATGTTTATGTATGTGTCGAGTTCCGATAATTCAAAATGGCTATGGGTATCAGAAATTTAAACTTTCAAGAATTTTCAATAACTAATTTTTTTCAACAGATAGAATTTTTTTCAATTTATCTTTTAATTTTTATTATTCATCAAGACTCGACTGTACATAAATATTATTATAGAACCCTTCTGTCTGTCACTTTCAAGCACTTCTCTCCTCTTACTTAAACATAAACATTTTATTTTTGTTGTTTATTATTTTAGTCAAAATCGATACTGGAGTAGTCCTTCATATGTTTATAAAATTGGTCTTGCTTTTTCTTCACACACTTATGGAGCGGCTTGATTTAGCCTATCTTGCACGTTGTTAAGCCCATAGTCATCAAAATTTTTAAATAGAAATTTCTAGAATTTTACAGCTGTGCAAACTACCAAAAAAGTCGAATTACAAAATTTGCTTAGCTAGCAGTTAACCAGTTTCGTAGATCATTGAGATCAAAAATGCTTCGATCTGAGTTTTTGGGTATATCATATGTACATATATACATATACATATCTTTAATGCTGAAGCATTTCTTGAGCATATGCTGAAATCCTTAACAGGAATGCTTTCTTGTTTCCGCCCTGCGGGGGAATTTTCTGGACATGTTCACGATTATAGCGTGAGATTTGCGGAGCTGTTATTCATAGAAAAACCCTATTACAACTGGTTAAGCATTTAAGTATATATCACTTAAGACATACTCGATATTTTCTCTTTATTTCTGCATGACGTTTACACTGTCTGTAACTCACGCTCCTTCTCCCTCGCTCTCTCTCTTTCTCTCTCTGTGTTTGTCTGCCTCTGTCTTTGTCTCTGACAAGTCTCGTGATTTGAGCTAGTCAGCAATTGACGACGACAAGTTCGCCTTCATAGTCTGTCATCTGCTTGCCGCCAATAGCCCCACGTTCCATGCTCCACGCCCCACCCCCATTTCTGGCTATATTAATGCAATTTTCTG